CTCTTTGGCCCCCCCCCCCCCCCCCACCCCTGGGGGGGGGGGGGGGGAGGAAGTGAGGGGCACCAGTAGGGCCAGGGGAGGGCCTTTAATTTTAAACCAAGGAGTTTGGAGATTTTATCAGAGAACTTGCAATTTTTTTTTATCAGGGAAAACCAGGATCCCTGAAGATCACAGACAAACACAGGCCTAGGGGTGGCCATCAGCCCAATCGGCAGGAGAAAACAGGATCTTGTAGCCCCTGGCTATACCACTGAATACAACAGACAATCGTTGTAGAGGAGCCAGCGTATCCAGCTTCACAAAAGCAGCTATTCTGCTACAGCCTCTGCACTGCAACCAGCCCTTCAGTGATGGGGGCCAGAGTAGAGAACAAGGAGCGTGTTCTGGAGGGAGGTTGCTGAAGCCAACAAGTGATAAACATTTTAATGAAACTGGCAGGGTCCTGTCCCCCCCTTGCCCACACAGTCTAGTCATGACATACCACCAGGGAGATCTGCAGAGCTCACAGCTCTGGATCCATATTACTTTCAAATCTTAAATGTGCATTGGATGAAAACCTAGTAAGGTTTTCTCCCTGACTGCCCTTCCCCCACCTATCCTCCAGAGAGGAACAGAAACACATTCTAGGCCATTGGCAAAGGAGCTAAAAGCCACACATGGGAAAACAGGAAGCTGGTATCTGATTCGAAGGCTTAGGCATTCCATTCCTGACGTCTGTCCAGAGCAGAGCAGCTGCCAATGAATTCTGTGCCCCCAGACATCTTTGCCATGAGGATGCTTCTCTTGGAGCTAACACATCAGGGCAGTGCTGTTCATACAAAAGAACAATTATGGGATTTCAGCTTTACACACACACACACACACACACACACACACACACACCAGATTTCCACCCCCAAAAAGCCTCTCCTTCCTGGTATTTCTATGACCTCAAGTTACAAGCCAACACTTTTGCTACATGCACAAGACACAGCAGTAAACAATCTGAACGGAAGGCTCACCAAGGTCAATCATTTGCTTCCCTACTGCGTATGCTGCTCATTAATCAGTAAAGCTAACAAAGTCGATCATTTATAATAGATGACAATAAACCTGGGTTCTCATTAAGCTCTAATGTAAAACTGTTTTCTGGGGGGGGGAAAAAAAAAATGGTAAATAGCAGTGAATTTTATATTGGTGTGTATACAGTAAAGGGCTCTCTGCATCCCTACAGGAAGGCAGGGGCACAACCAGATGCCACCTGAACTTTAAAATGAGAACGTTCTTTCTGTTTATGAGGATCTTTCAGGCTAAGTGCATGGTTGTGTTCTTCACTGGTGTGCAAGCAATGCTGAAAGCTCCATGGATACCAAAAGTAAACACAGCTCCACTGGCAATTGTTTTGACTGCAAGGGACTAGGTAAGAGAAATGACCTGTGATACGACTGCATCTTCCTGAATCAGTTGTGGGTGCAAATCATAAGCACTCTTGAACTTAGGGTCACAATCCAAATCCAAAT